GGGCAACATAATAGAGAAAAAAATCATATCCAAAATTTTGATTAGTTCCAGAGAATCCTATACTTCAAAAAAGCTACTTCATTTATAACTAAAAAAACAGGAATTTGAATGTAGTTTTATAGTTCTGAATGTGATTTTCAGAGATTACGAGAAGATCCAAATAGATAGCCTTAGAAATTAGACTCCTCTATCCACATCTATTCCCAAATTCACCACAGGAAAGAGTACCTCCGTTCCCTGTTCTACTACAGCCATGGACTGTGTTAGAAACAGCCATTGGACAGCTGGGAACTTCAAAAGATTTGCCTTATAAGTCAAGCATATTTGAAAATAAAAGCATTAATTACTTGCACTGATAAAAATCAGTCTATACTACGTGAATAATCAGAATGCCTAAAAAAATTTCTGTAGATTACAGTTCTACCTTCTCTGCTTCCTGAATTCTTACTTACTGTGTGCATATATACATATGTATGCATACATACATATATATACTCCAGAGAGAGTGAGCACACGCAAGAATGTGAGCCTAGAATCCCCCATGACAAAAAACAATTTTAGCTTCTTAGTCCCACAGAGCTAGCAAAAGTAAGATTGAGCCAACTGCAGTCTGTGCTCAAACCAGTGCATCATTAATAGATTTGTTTACTATGTTACTTACCATCAGTTACACTTGCAAAAACTCATGCAAGGCAACAGTGCTAACCACATGTAACTGACAGAATAATCTAAAAACCATTTGGCTGCACAGATGTTTCTGATTCTTTAATTGCAAGAAAGACAGAAGATAGAAAGAATCCAGCTTGATTCTTGGAATTAAATCTGAATTTGCAAGCTCAGACATAAAATACATACAGGACTAAAGCAAGTAGGTCAGACTCTGGAATGAAAATAATAAACACAATTTCTCACTGTCTGTTCTTCAACACAAAGGAATTTTGCACAAGTTCAAAAAATACAGTACTTTAAATACCTTAATCTAAGGGGCTTATTGCTACTTATTTGCCATATTATCAAGTAGCCTGTAAGCAACTGTAAGTGTTATGAAACCGGAGTTCCATTTCTTGCTCCAGTAAAAACTTACTACTTAAATGGCTGTTGGAAACTCATCTCATCAGCAGAAATATTTATAGAAAATTCTGCATTTTTGTCTAGTGCATAATCATATCAAAAACAGTAAATCTTTTCAACCTGAGGAAATGCTAACAGTTTAACATGGAGTACCTTCTCAGTTTGGTGATTAGAACATCTGCTAAAACTGGCCAAGGGGAAGAGGAATGAAAGTCTGAACTCTCTTCTGGCAATTCAAGCTGGGTCTCCAGGATATAGATAAATCCTCTATTGAAATCCTGGATAAAACCTGGGTGGTAACATCACTTTCTTCTCTTGATATTCAGTGAGGTTAGCACAGCAAACATGTTTTGAAGGCATACACCAAGATGACTCTATTGGGTGGAGCTGCAGCTTAGATAATAAGCATTTTTAAGACTGAAGAACTCTGGAAATAGTTAGTAGTAGATCTCTCAGTGCCCATGGAACTGTAAAACTCTTAGTGGGCCCTCAATATGCAATAAAATGGCACAGGCAGTATCAATGTCTGCATTTGTGAGACTCAAAGGGTAGGCCCACATATCTATTCATCATAACACTTCTACAGCATTCTACTCTTACTGCTAGGTCATAGGTAGGCTTAGGGAGAGTCCATGAAATGAAATTTAAAAATAAATGTAGTATCCCCACCACAAGCAGAGAGTGTAAAGACCACAGATTAAGACCACATATTAAAGGGTACTAGTGGCTATTCCGCAACAGCGTATCTAGAAACAGTTTGATGCAGCACCCAAGTCATGGGACAGCTTCAGTGAAACACTGACAGTGGGCCAGTGAAGACGAGCTGCATAAATAAAAGCCAGGCTATAACCTCAGGAATTTAGGAGATGTTAGGAGGAGACTGACTTCAAGGTTGGGAACAAGGATATTAACGAATATTCCTAAATGAAAAAGGCCATATCAAAGGTAAGAAAACTGAAGAGAACATCGTTAGACAGCTACGCATAGGCACTGGTTGTGCTGTTAACAGCAAGAGTATTGTTTGTTCTTTCCTGGGATACAATGAGATTCCCTATAGGTGCTTATCCCTTCAAAAATCAGATTACAATAACGCAAAAAAAAAGGGGAGGAGGGAAGGGCCAAAGTTTATTCATGCCTAACTAGTGTATTCTTATGTAACAATTCTATTAAGAGCTCAATTCAGTTTTTTTTTGTCTCAAGAGCTGGGACGCTTGAAATAGTCTGCACCTCTGCCATTCATTTCACCCTTGACGGCAACAGAAAACTCTAGATCAGTTATTTTTGTCAGGTGAATTTGGTGGGCTTTTCAGGCTCCCACTGCACCACTTCCTGTCTTTAAAGAATTGACAGACTCCTGCTGCAAACCACATTAGATACATCAATAACTCAAGGATAAACTAGTTCATTTTTTGTTCATTTCAACCTACATTAGTCCCCCAGTTCAAACTGAAGTTTGCACTTGATTATTGCACTTGGTAGTTTATTTTCTTAGGATAAGTTCAAATAATATGCTCTTGAGGGGTCATCTCAGGAAAAAAACTAATTCTATAATCATAATACAAATGCCAGTTTACTGTACACAACCTCTCAAGTTCTTCATATAATTCTTTTGATGTGATTTTTAGAGCATCCAGTAATATTTACAAATGTTATATTAACACAACCATGCACACAAACAAGCATACTGCTGCTGAACATCATATTAAATGGCTATACTTAAAAATCACTGAAGTTACACATAAAATATATAACTACATGAGATGTAACACTGTCTATAGCCAAAAAATTATTCATTCTCATGAGCTTGTAAGGAAACTCTGAAAGTTTACTCCAGGCAAATATTTTGCAGAGCAGAAGATGTGTGGAACTCTAAAAAGACTTTCTAGCCTGGAAAAGATTACAAAGTTGCTGCCAAAGACTAATGAGGCAGTAACAACCATTAATTTGTAAAACAGCTACTCTTTCTCTGCTCAGCTACATCACCCCTCCTTTTTGGTCCTCTGGTAACAGTTTTGCTTCTTCCCATGTGATCTAAAATGCTAAGGCAGAATACTTAAGGTAGTAGCACTTCACTGTTGCAGTCTTGGGGGTCATCCTCTTTCTTGGGCACCAAAATCATTTTAATTTCTGTATTCATCACTCCCAAGACATGCTATTGCTACACATATCGTGTTTAAGCCTGTCATCCTTACTTCTGATGCAACCTAATTTGTACTTGCTTATTTTCAGTCTCTTTTCACTTTTATCATGCTCCTGTACCTCTGTTAAAAATAGACTCTTGCATCCATCCACATTGTGCCATATTCGTAGGCTTTTATCCATGACTCGCACTTTCTCTCTTCAACTCCTTCACGTAAACGTATGACTTTAAGGAGGTCTAAAACTTAACTTTTTTTAAGGCGCACAGATATGTACCAAAAAGCACAGGGCTAATAATCATATACTTATTACTTTTTTTCCATATTGCTCTGTTTTTCTTCTCCCTGAGTGCGTGTGCATAATCTCCAAATATTAGAGGTTGTCCCTGATGTACTATCACACAACCATTCAGTTGAGTCAATCAACAATTGTAAGCAAGCTTTTCATTTTCAAATTGCCATAAAAATAGAAGCTTAATTTCCAAAAAGATTTTTCTAGTAGGAATTATTTTGTCTCATTTTGATTATCATCATTCCTGGCAAAAGGCTGAAGCTCCAAAGTACTGCTTATCACTACACTGACTGAAAGGTATTATTACAATCATAGCTTTAGTCTAACATGCAGGAGAAGAAAAAAATCACAGAAAAGAACCTATTTCTAAAAATAGGGCTCAAAATTATTCAAATAACTAAAAATTAAAGGATAATTTATACTGAGAAGACCAAAGGCATTTATTTTTAAATATTATATACGTGTTGGCATACATTAAAAATCACCTTTATAATCACCTTCATGTATAGCTCACTTTCCAAAGCAATTTTAAGGGTTTTGAACATATTTCCAGTTACTTCTATATAAATATGACTTTTTAAAGACTTAACTTCAATGCAGCTATAGGAACTGAAACACAAACAAAGTGAGAGTTACACAGCATTTACATTTTAAATATAATGACCATTTTAAACTATTAGTTGATCTAAATCAAGGCAGTGGTAAGTTTAAAACAAACAAACAATGAAAAAACCCAGAACCCTAGTTCTTTGTAACAGGACTAATTTCTTTGTGCAAAGAATACAATTAACCTTTATAGGTCTTTGATTGATTTTCATTATCCTTCAACAAATGAGAAGGATAGTGAAACTAGATGAGGAATGTATCCTTCCATATTCTTTTAGAGGAGCATCATAAAACTTTCAAGGGGGAAGGAATTCTCTTTTTAAGATGGCCTGAATCTCCCTAGCTGGACTTCAGGCCTGTTACTACAGTCTTTACTCCGATTTTAGTTTTGTATTCACACAACGACCTGACAGCTATTCCCTCCCCACGCCCGGGTGTTCTGCAGAGCTAAAATTACTTGGCTTGTGTTTGCCTACGAGTAGATCCTCCTTTGCAAAACAACTGCGTGTTCATTAGTATCGGCAGCGAGCTTGGCTCATCTCTGGAACAACGCTGAACTGCCACGGCCAGGCCAGCAAAAGAAAAATAAAAT